GGTTCGTTCATCTTCCTCTTCTGCTTTTTCTGCTTCTCTTTTTTGCATAATACAAATCACAGTGAATCGGTTTTTTCCTCTCAGCTACTGATATTTTTTTTCTATATCGTTTCGATGGTTTTGTTCGGGTGGAAAGCTTCAAGGCGAACACAAGTTCTGTGAATAAAATTTCTGCAATTTTTTTCACAGCAAAATTTATTTGGTATGAGAGATTGCGAGGAGCCCGATGGCAAAATACAAAAACCGGCCAAAATGAACATTAGAAATTGTTGCGTTGGCCAGAGAGATAGAAACGAAATTCGATGGGGTAGTTTTGATGAAGTGCACCAAAAACATGGCCAACAAAATATTACCGAACCCAATGAAACAAAAAATATATAAAGCGAAAAAATTGAGTCATAAGCAAGTCGCATATTGAGCCTATTTATGCGTATGTCTCGATTTATACGAAAATGTGTTCACTCTTGCTGTGCAACCATCGCTTCGGATGATTTGATACGGCATTTTTGTGTCCATATTTTGTCGATGCTCAGGCTCAATGACCAAGCACATAAATTTTTGAAAACGTTGAATTGCATATTTCCATTTGCTCATCACACATCCACACACACTCTCTCTCTCTCTCGCTCTTTCTATTTCTCTTGTCGTCTATTTTCCGTTCGTCTTCGTTGACGCTCGGTTGAAATTGAATTGCTTGGCGGCTGAAGGACATATGAGACTGGTGCGCTGTTTTTTGGCAACTATTTCTATTTGAAATTCCCATTGAGAAAAGCCTCTGAGAGATGGATAAAAAATAGAGAGAGAGAGAGAAAAACAAGAGAAATGGGAAAAAATCACCAAAGCGAAACCGTTACACATGAATGACGAAAACGATGCAAAAACAAATGATCTGTGCGAGTGTATCAAAAGCGATAGCACCCGAATGGGTTGCAAGATGGATGGCTATACATGATGTTTAGATCAAATCCATGACATAAAGACATAGCGTGTGTTTGGCATGGATGTGTGTATGAGTGAGTGTGTGCACGAAACAAATTCTTTTTACACGAACTACAAGCACGTTTTACCATACCGAACCATGTTTTTTGCGCATCATGAAAGTGTCTTTTTGCACAAACACACACACGCATAGGTTTCACCACATTTTTCTGCCATAGTGCTAACAAATGCACAAAAAAAACTAGATGAAAATTGGTGTTCTCGTTTTTTCTATCCTTTTCTCGGTTCGATGTAAAACGATATTTTTGATGCGTTAAGCGAATAAATTTCAAAGCACATTTGAATTGAATTAGCGTTGGTGTGAAAAAGTGTTTGGTGTTTTTCACTCGCACCCGAATCAAATTTGAAATTATGGTCAGCCCACTCTGGATCAGATGATTTGCCTCATTTGGTTTCTATTTTTTTCTTCTAACGCGTAGAATGTAAATTTTGATTAGCTTACGAGTTTGTGAAATGTTTGTAACATTCTTTATTTTCAACGTAATTCGGAAGTTTTTTTTTCGTTGCGTTTTTTTCGCTTTGAAACCTTTTCGTTCTTTTTTTTATCTAAAAATTTATATCAAAGAGGCAATGGCCAAAGAAGGCGAACCGATGATGATTTATTGCTTGCTATCGATTTGTCTGGGCTCTGTGATCCAGACTTTTTGCATGCAAAACAAAAACCCTGTGTGTAACAAACAGGCAAAACAAATTTTACAGTATTCTCTTAATCCTTTCTTTAGGACTCGCATGTCAACCGACGGACGACTAAGCCATGTTACACACAGAGCGAGCGAGAGTGAGAGAGAGAGACAACATTGTTGATGATGATATTAAGAGGAAATGAGGGAAAATGTAATTCAAAAAGTTTTCAAGTTGTCGTTCTTCTTGTTCCTTCTGCTTTGGTTCTCTGGCTCTTGCACCAATTTTTCGACGATTGAAACTTTTCCATGGTCATTTGACCATTCTTCATTTTCGTGTTCATAATGAACGGAATTTCTTTATTGTTTTTTGCTCTATCAAAGACAAAGCCTTTTCTTTATTAAAACGATGACAGGGGTTGTCTGAAGGACACTGGACTCGATATAAATAAGTGGAGAGAAAAAACCGAAGGAAAAAATGTGCAATGTATTTGGAGTCTTCGTACACTGATTTAATTGCAAAAATGAATTATGTGAATATCAACATGATCTATCAGATGTTCGAAGCAAAGCAAATGAAGGCGAGACGCACGCACCAAAGCTTAAGTGGTAATCAAAAGAAAATTAGTATCTTTGCATAAAACATCTGCAACCAAAACGTGTCTTTTTCTTTCTTTCTTTTTTTCTTCTTGCAATATTTTTTCAACGAATCTGATGAATTCATGTAACTAGTACATATTAAACACAAAGAGAGGGTAAACTATTGAGTTGACAGAGATGGAGAGGGTGAGAGTTCACAAGTTATTTTTGCATGAATTTTATTTATACAGCATATATAATGATGAACTACTTTCGTTTCAGTTGGCATTTCATTTCAGCTCAAAAGGAAAGAACATATGCGGAAAAATGCCATCGTAACAACGAGTGATCCCTATAAAGTGGTTTAACTGATGCAGAAAAAGCGAAAAGACGGCGAAGATTCTTTTCTTTTAATGAGTAAACTTTCGTTCTTTGCTCTGTTGGAATTTTTCTTCGCACAACAAATAGGACGAGGAATGACATTTAGCAAAGACTTGATTGAGTACTAGGTTATGAAAGAAGCACTTGATATTAATGGAATTGTCAACATTTTCCTCTTTATTTGGACTGAAGAGCCTCATGTTTCTTTGTTCTTGCCCGTCTTTGAAGCATAAACAAAAATCTACTCATTTATAAAGTGTTGCAAGTAATTAAATATGGAAAATCAGTGCGACTGCCGAGTTATATTGGACAAAGTTCACACAACTTCAATCCAGATGGAATTAATATCAACTTTTTTCTTATGCAAATTTTTTTTCGATAAAAAAAAGTCTCATCATTATATTCTCTCAGTTTTCATGCAGTGCGTGAAAGAAAGCGAAAACTTTGTTAATTCGCATCGAATTTTAATTAATCGAAATGAACAAATATGTTTGCAAGAAAAATAAGACAAATCCATTGAATCCACTAACGCTCATCAATGTTATAGACACAGACACAGACGCAGACACGCAAAAGGCGAATACAATTCTGATGAGTAAGTGTGTCTCGTTTGCGTTGACAACAATTACTTCGATATTGCCAAACAAATGAAAACTTTGACAAAAAGTGGTCGTTTGTGTGATGATGGGATTGTAATTAGTGTCTGCTTCATGGTTGCGCTGTGATGTGATTCATTTTATTGGATGAGAAACAAAACACTGCAAAATTGATTAATTTGCGAGCGAGCTGAAGTGGCTGATGACTCGTCTTCTGCCGGATGCGTTGCGCATTTTTAAGTTTAGTTCCGGTGGGTTCTCGTTGAATGCCAGAGTTGGCAGTCGAAAATGTAATTTATTTTCGAAAAACGTGACACATTTGTTGCTTGTTTCGAGTGGCGACGGTTTTTGGTAGTCCGTAGCGTCGACCGCAAGGTGAAATGTTGAACGAATGTGAATGATTTTATATTGACCTGAGTCCAATGCGGAAATAGGAAACGTTGAGTCAAAACGAACTCGACTAATCACGTTTAGCAATGACATACAATGTATTGAGGTTTAAACGAATACAAATGGAGCATAAAATAAAAGCAACGAGTGATTCTGGGCCAAAATGTCAAGCGTCCTCGTTATTTACTTTGCCAAGAATAGGTCTAAGAAGCATTTGTGGCCATCGATTTCGGCAGCGTGATTGTGTTGAACGACAGAGCAAGCGAGTGAAGAATGAAACTTGCAGGGAAGTTGATTTCGTGCACGCCTTCAAGAACATTTTCATTTCCGGCATTTGAAAGCGAACATTTGGTTGGAAAAATCGCTTCTCGTTTCAATCAAAGTTCAAGATAAATCGCTTCAATATTTAATGGTTCGTTGCCAAAGTTCAGCACACTGGGCTACACATGCCAACAAATATCATTTATTCAATGCCACAATTTTCGCCTCGGCTAGAATCTAAGTCATCGAAACATCGTTGTGTTGGATGTCAAAATTGGGCCCAAACAGTTCGAACGCCAAAGCCAGCAGCCTCAACTCAATCAATTTCCGACAAAATTTACATGAGCTTCTCCGCTCGACATCGCCTTGCAGGAAAGAAAACATCGACACAAGAGATTTCTTGGTCGAAATTCACAAGAAGTGTACGTGTATGTGTTCGAGAGAGCTTGAAGGAAAATTTATCAAATAAACGATTTTACTGAACTCCGTTCCGGCCACACACACACTCACACCCATCATGCCTACCACGTCAATCGACTTGAAACTACATAAATGTGTGTGTGTTTGTTAGTGTGCACCGTCCGCATCACGACCAGGCAAATCAATACAAATCTATTGAGTGTATTTATATGCAATGACCACAAATGTAACACTTTATGTGTTCTTCACCGTTACCGCATCGCATACAGATCCAGACGACCCGATAAACATTGAAACTCACTTATCCCTTTCTGAATTATAAATGGCCAAATCTCGATAAATTGTACTATTCAACATTAAAATGCCGATGTTGATGAGAGACTAAAATGCCAACTGACCGGTTTTCGTTGGCCGACATTGTGTTCGTGCAGAGGAATTAAAAATATCAAGCGAAGAAACTCTCTCTCAACAATGTATAACAGTGTTGTTCAAAACTGAAGTTTTTCTATCTAGATAAAGATAAGATATTTATCTGAAAGTAGTGAAAATATCTAGATGAATTTAAGATATTTATCTCATATTCTATAAAAAAGATAAGATTATCTTTCTTATCTTTCAATAGATAACGCAAGATAAATAAGAATGACCTTCTTCGTTTTACTACACCTGATTAAGTTAATCTAAACGATAAAAAAAATTCCCCACATCAGCAGTGCTGTGAAATTAAATAAATAAGATCAAATTGATTGTTTAATATTCATTCTTTTTTATTCAAGTGCATAAATTATTCTTTTTGAAACGTCGAGTATTATTCTTTAATTAATTTTCGGTTGTACTTTAGTAATAAACTCTGTTCAAAATGTTCATCGGAAATGCGATTTCGTCTTGGCGTGAAGATTAGTAGTGATTGACTGAAGAGTCTTTCAACAGCTCCGGACGAAGATAATGTTGTGTTGTAACGAAAATATATTGACCGTATGGTTGGATATTTATTTAACATGCTATAGTTCCCTTCAGGATCGGCCAAATACCGCGACACTTCTGAATCTATTTCACTTTCAAGCGAAGTACTTCTTGCAAGTCTTCGCGATGCAAAAGAAACAAAAAAATCGTCTTGTTCTTCGTTCAGTTCAGGTTCAGCGGTCAGAGTTGGTCGGACATCGATGAACTTATTACATTCAGCAACCAATAAACGTTTTGCTGACATGAAATCTTCATCAGAACAGATGAAATCTGCTTTGAACTTTGGCACTGTTAGTGATGCTAAAATAAGTTCTTTATTTTGTTCAGTGAACTCAAAATACTTCTCAAATCGACCAATGTTCTTGCTATTTAGTTCACCATGATTACGATCAGAGCCCACAATTACTTTCAACATTGTTGCCTTAAAATCGGATCCAATGGGTGAATTCGTTCTGTATTCTTCTATAGCATGCTTCATTGAAGTTAGGACGGGCAGAATAAAACCTTGACTGCAATTATGTTCTCCTTGTAGAACGTCTAAGGCTCTTGCAACTGGACCCATAACTTTAACGTATTCGGCGATTACAACAATATCGGTGGATGTCAGGTTTTGGAGCAGTGCTGCTGACTTTACTTCTTTTCGGAGCTGTGAAATTAGTACATTAACTTTTGTTCCTTCTGGTTGAACAGTTTCCAACTTATTAATGTCATGGATTTGTGCAATGGCATCAAATTTTGAATTCCATCTTGTTTCACAAGGTGTTCGTAGAACACATCCCAAAATTTGTTTGCATATCGATTTTGAATGACTACTACGGTGCGTTTTATTCCAGAGCGATCGTAGCTTCTCATACACGGCATTCATAGCTTCTTTGGCAAGGGGTGGTAGGAGTTCGTCGAAAGAATTTGAAACCAAATTCAACATATGCGAAAAACAGCGACGTTGCGGGGGAAGTGTGATTTGGAGTTGAGGAGAATTCCCACCAAAATAACCTTCACTGCTCGTAGGAGTTTGGTTTTGCGAATCAAAGTCCAAAATATCACTGGCAAATAGTTCGCCCGTTTCATTTCGCATATACACTGTATCTCCTAGCGATATTATGTTTGGATTTTGTGTTTCACTATTAGTGCCATCACCGTCGGGTTCATTCCGATGCAAATCGTCGCTATCATCATCACAGTCACCATCATCTTCATCATAATCTTCGGAAATTTCTGCGTCGGGATCAGTTCCAAATTTCCGAAACATTTTGCAGAATGCTGAACCTCCATCCGTGACAATATTTGTTACCTTTTCAATATCGATATTGTAATCTTCAAAAATTTCGTCTAATTTTTGCGCTAGCTGAATGTATGTTTGTCGACCAAACAGACGCTTAAATGCTAATACGTGTGATTGGCGATGGTTGTTACTTTCGAGAGATTCATCCAGAAAATGTACCGTCACGCCCAAGTAACTCTGTCCTCTGCTTGACCATACGTCGCAAGTGATACACAAATATAATTGTTGGGCCAAAAGTTCTTTAAGACCAGTTTTCATTGATTGGAACTTTTCATTGAGCGTTGACATAAATTTACGTCTTGACGGTAGCATTATTTTTCTTCCGCTAACAGTTTCTAATAACGCTTGAAGTGATGGCAACTGCGCAACATTAAATGATAGATTTCCATCGACCACGAGGTCAAGCAGCTTCGATGAAATCTGTTGAAACAGTGTTTTAAACTCAATTAAAAATTAAGAAGTAATACTTTTTTTTAAATAATGACTCTCATTAATAATATTCGCTTTATATTTAGTGAATATATTTGCACATAGAGTTTTCAATGTACCTTATCGGTAGAAACTGCTGGCAATACATCACGAATATCTGACTGTTTAGAGTTTGACGTCTCTGGCATTACGAAGGTTTTGTTTTTGAGATACTCATCCAAATCTTTCAAACGGCTTCCATGGATCTTGTAATGTGTCTTAAAATTGCCTGTGCTCTTCAAATTTCCTTTCTTTATTTCCAAACATTCTGTACACTTTGCGATAACTCTGTCTTCTTCATCAATTGATATTATCTCGTAAAATTGACCATCCAAAATTTTTGGCACCTTTTTTTTCTTTGGAGGCGGTACACATTCTGACGATTCACTATTTGGCTCTAGTAGAGTAGTAAAATGACAAATTTTAGCAAAATATTATTTACAAATTTTCGATACATTGTATCGGATACAAACACCATAGACTTTTTTACCTTCTTCATTTGTGTTCGTCAAATATTCATAAATCCTTTTTCCTCTTCTGGTTAGCATAATTTAATCTAAGTTTTTAACTATCAGTTCAATATTTTCAATTCAATTTTCTTGAGATAACTTAAAATAGATATAATTTTTTACAGTGGATCAATTGTTTTTTTTTAACAAATTACAAAGTTTTGAATAAACGATGAGTTCAGATGAGTTGTCCATGGACAGTGCACTCAGTTGGTAAAGTCATTTTGACAGGCGTTCAATGTTGCCATATCAACTGTCTAATGTTTCTAATACGCAATTGCAACCAACTTTACACTAATGCTCAACTTGAGTGAATTGTCAACGACACAAAGTAATTGTTCATCAAGACGTAGATTTTTTTCATTCAATTTATTTCAAACAAATTATCTATTCAACAATAAAAAAAGAATCTTCAAAAATGCCAAAAATCAAATCAAGAAGTCAACACAGAAAAAGTAAGTTGTTGGTGAAATTGAGATCAAATACATGTTAATAAAATCTCTGTTTTTAGTTACGCAATACTTAACAAAACCAGCACACAAAGCTAATGCTTTGTCGGTCGCTTCGAATAGTAATTCAGATGTTGAACAAATTTACGGACTAAAACCAGTGTTTGTTAAAGTGGTTAATCTTTCAAAACACGAAATTTGTGAAATTCAAAAGAAGGTATGCACGATGCTTATAGCCGTTGAATTAATTTTTTGGTGCACTGCACATTATTAAACACATTATATCTTTTAGATCGAATCCGGGGACAAAGTAAAAAGTGCCGTGGTAAATGATACATTGACAGCTCGACTTATTGAATTTTCAGCGAAAAACGTTGTGCCCGTTCAAAAGAAGGTAAGAATTATTTGTTGATCGTCAATTAATTATAGATTTTTGGTGCACTGCACAGTAGTAATTTAATTTATGTTTTAGATCAAATCCAAAGACGAAGTTGGAAGTGCTGTTGACATGTCGACACCTCGACCCAATGAAGCGAAAAATGATGAGCCCGTTCAAAAAAAAGTATGCAAATTGAGTTAATAAGTTTGATTTGGGTGCACTGCACAGCAATAATTATTAAATATTCGTTTCAGATCGAAAAAGGTCAAAAGACAGGCAATGTTAACACGACCCGATTAACTCGTTCAAGAGCTCGTTCTTTAGGCATCAACGTGAATGATATTCAGACTTCCAGCAGCAACAAAACAATGAAACGAAAAATCTGTCGCGTGGAGGATAATGAGTCACGAGAAGAATCTTCATCGAAAAAAAGAAAATTGGATGATAAACAGATCCATGAAGCGCCACAGCAAATTGCTCAAAATTCAATTGATGACCCACAACTTGTGAAAACCGTAGCTCAAATCATATTCAAAGTCGATGAAGTTGTTTGGGCCAAGATAAAAGGCCACCCACATTGGCCAGCCCGTATCAAATGTTTTCCTAGCGCAAAAATGGCTATTGTTGTGTGGTTTAACGATTATCGGACAACAAAAATCTATCGCACGCAATTGCATAAATTTTTAACAAACTTTGACAAATTTGCAGTCCGATTTCGAGATACAATTGGTTTAGAAACAGCAGCTAAGGAGGGCTTAATCTATTACGGACAACGTGCTAATGCCGCAATGCAATTTTAACTTGCTTTTTTAAATTGATACTAATAAAAGAAAACAACCAAATAACAATCGAAATTAGTTTTTTTTACAAGTTTTGTCAAATTAGATAAAAAGTAAACAAAAAAACTTGCACATTGTGCCCACAAACTTGATTTCTTGTGCATTGCACTTTATATACGAAACGTATTACGTAGAGACATAACAGAATGTCATCTGTCAGAACTGTCAACACATTTTTTTAGTGCGCTAATTTAGTCGTTTGATGGTATATATGTTTAGTGGATTGATAGATAGAATAAAATAATTTGTGAACAATTTGTTATAATAGTAATCATTGATTGTTCAATTTGAAATAATGCGTTCATTAAAAGAAAAATTGGAGGATGTTCTGAAAGATGAACAGCGCGATCAAAGTCTACTGAGCAGCAGAACTGCTGAAGAATTTCCTGTGTAAGTTGATCAAATCGATGTTTTACTTTTTCAACATCAGAAACTAATAATTATTATAATTATAGCAACAGCGCTGTAGCGTTTTCATTGCGGAATTTGGGTGTTCACAATCTTTCACACATTCAAGTCAAAATGTTGACTGGTTTATTGATCCAAAAAAAAAACATGGTTGTTGTCGATGAGGCAGGTGGTGGAAAAACTTTTGGTGCAATCATCGCGATCCTCAGTCGAATCGATGCAAATCGAATGAATCCACAGGCATTGTTTGTATGTGCCACATATGAGGCGGCTCTTCAAGTGGCGGCCAAAATGTTAGCACTCGCTGTGCGAAGTCAGATTAATATCACGACACTCATGGCAAACAAGAACGGTATGCAATGCATTAAGACTTTATTTTGTTGTGTATACTATACTATATTTTTCGAGTTTTGTTTCAATAAAAATATCATTCTTTTAGTGCAAATTGGTCAAAAAGCTGATGGCCATATAATCGTGGGTACACCAAAAGAAATCGTATCTTTTTCCATCATGCGCAATTTCAACATTGAGGATATCGAATGCATCATCATCGATGACGTAGATATCGTCAACACGTCTGATCTTTTTCGATCCCATGTCATGGGTAAATTGGATAGATCGGCATTAAAAATGTTTATTGCTTCACAAATCCACACAGCTGCACCATACGGTAATGATATGGAAATCGTTCCAGAATATGGTACACGCAACATAACGGAAACGTTTTTGAACTGTGCAGACATTGTACAAAAAATAAAAGCAATTGTGACCGCTTATACTGTACTTGTCAAATACAAATCACAGGGCATCATTTTCTTTCGAGTAAATATTATTTTTTTTTGCTTACTTGATTTTTGTATAAGAAATTTAATTTCATATATTTTTGTAGACACGCGAAAACCTGGACCTTGTAGCCTCGGTTTTGACATTGAAAAAATGTGCAGTTTCAATGCTTCACAGCAAAATGACGTTCGAAGATCGTGATTTGGCAATAAGAAAGTTCGGCTGGGGTCAATCAACTCTTCTGTTGACCACAAATGTTTTGGCTCGTTCAGTTAGCTTCGAAGCGGCCCGATTGGTGATCAATTTTGATATTCCCGATAACGGTCTTGCTCATACTTTCGATGGAAAAAGCTATCACTACAGAATTGGTAGATCTTCTCGATTCGGTAATGACATATTTTCAGTATAAATTCTATAATATTTTAGCTTAACTAAATTAGCTACTAGCTCAGATTTTTTCTCATGTGTATATTATACAATTTTTAGGACAACGCGGGCTGGCCATAAGCTTTGTAAGCGGAGACGATCAACAGATATTCAACAATCTATTGGCGCAACACCCAGACCTTTCGGAAATATACAATGTATAATTAAAACACACATGTGTATTTCCACTGTGCGTTTTGCACAATAATTCCGTTATTGAATTTCAATAAAACAAACTTATGAAATGAAACCACAATTTCTAACAAAAATATTTGAATCTTATCTTAAAGTAATCTTAAAAACTCAGATAAGTTACCTAAAAAGGCCATTATCTAGTTAAAGTTAAGATATTTATCTACGAAAATTGAATTTATTTAGATAACCCGCAGATAACATCTTATCTTATCTTATCTTGATATCTTATCTAGATAGATTATCTTTGAACAACACTGATGTATAATACTGAAATGCCATTCGTTTTAGCAGACAAGCCACAGCTTTGCATTGATTGATTGATCGTTTTTGGGCAGGAAAAAAAGATAAATCGCATATTTATTCCGAAATCGAGTATCCATTATCTGCTGACCTATTGTTTCGGTGGGAAAAAAAGCCGGCGATGAAATATTCACAGTGATAACGATTTGTGAATGGAATCGATGTATCAAACATGTTAATCATCATCAATTTGCTACAGGGAGCGGGGGCGGAGAGAGAAACGTTTGTTGTCCGATAAAGATGTATTCATAACTTACTAACGATCACAATGAATTCATTCAATTTCCTCCGAAAAATACGATCCAATGTTTCGTTGCATTTAAAAAGTTATATTTATTTCGTTGTTTCGATGAATGAAAAGTTTATTTCGAAACTGAAAGCAGCTTGCATGCGTAAAGAAATAAAGAAACTCAAACTTTGGCAATGTATCGAAAGCAAAATGAACATGCGATATGTAAATAACAAATGTAGACCGGTGATACGATTCATTTTTTCTCTCTTTTTACCTTAAAAGCTTTTTACTGCATTTTCTACATAAATTAAGATTTTATAACTTTTTTCCATTTCGTTCGTTTTCCTTTTTTCTTTGGGTGAAATTTTTGTGTTTCGTTTTCCTCCTTTTTTTTTCATTTCATCGATGTTTCTCTTCCAAAATGAACGGATGGAAATGCGCTAGAGCTGGCGTAAATATTGAATGATGTTGAGACGGAGAGTGCAGACATCGCGTAGATTCAAAAACGGCAACGCACCATCACGAAGCAACAACGAAGGTGAGTTTGTAAACTTCGACATTATTTTTTTTTCTTTCATTGGCACCGCCGTCGCCATCGTCGTCGTCGACGTCGTCATCGTCTTCTATTTTTCCGCTTTTTTCGTACTTTCTTAATTTGAATATGCATATTGCACATGAATTCAAGTATGAAATGTGCTGTCGATGTTCCGTGGCATTTTTCTTTTTCACATTTGTGAAATGACTTAAATAAAAATTGCTTGATTGGTCGTTCGCACTAACATTTGCCATTAAAGACTGAATGTTATACGCTTGGCTCATGGAAAATACACTTTTTGATCGCCACAACCAAAAAAGAAATATTTAATTGGATTGAATTACGGAAGTGGAACTATAAAAGAATGAAAAAAAAACGGCAGCGATGGGAAGAAATACGAGAAAACAATGCACAAATGAATCAAAGTCAAAGGGAAACAGAGCGAATCGTAAGTTGCACGTAGCACAAAACTAAATCGAATTTAACAAAGTTAAAATGATTTTGCAAGCAAAAGTTGAACAAAATGAGAGGCAAGAAAAACTTCTTTACATTCTTTTTATTGGTCGAATATGAAAATCGGGTGGGAAAAAAAGCAGTCGGAATACAATTATATGATTCGGGCCCACAAAAGGATGACGGTGTTTTAGTGCAGTTAATTCTTTTACGGTTTCACACGCGACTACATTTCATGATTCAGTTCATGAAGAAATCAAACCCAGTAACTATAAATTGAGCAATCGCTTGATAATCATTTCGGTAATAAAACTTTTCCCTTTTTTTAGGCTTGTCATGATTCTTTTCACACTTCCATCGAAAGATTGGTGGAAAATTACATTCAATCAAATAGAATCAAAGTGCAATGATTCTATTAAAAATTCTAACAATATACCTCCGCTGGCCTAATTCCCAAGCTAAATCGTTGGTTGAACTGAATTTGCCCCGGTTTATCTAATTGATTTTCTAATATAGAGAATTTCAATTTTTAGGTCATTTTGTCATACTCGTTTTTATGCTTGTGTTTGTTTTTATCTCCGTATTTTATACTCAAAGCATCGTTGCATGGAACATGCGATCTTTATTTCAGAATGTCAGTTTTTTGAAAATTTTGTTTATAGTTTCATACATTTTCCACTTCAGTTCGCTGCCACGAATCAACTAGCAGCATTTAAGTGAAATACAGCAAAACAGCAGGCAGTACATTTTTTGCGCTTCATTTCTAAGCGATATCGTGTTTTTCCCAAGTTATTCACTTATTTATTCGATTGTTTGAATACTTTTTTTCACTTCTGTATCGTTGGCATGGTATTGCAATTTCTGCGAATTGAAAGTGACATTTGATGGCTGGAACAGTGGCAGCTGATGCACGTGCAGCTTTGAAAAAAAAATACTTGTTGGAAAATTCGCATATTTGCACTACGTATTTTCTATTTCTGTTGCTACTGCTTATGGTGATGACGCTGATGAATTTTTTTTTTTGGCATTTCTGCCGAAATTGCTTACGCTTTGGGATCCGCATGGGCTAGAACAAAGCAAATATGAAAATCATTTCGGATATTGTTCACCCGATGCGCATTTCACTCTCGATGCATCAGTTGGTCGTCGTAAAAATCCATCAGTGGATATTAAAAATGTTTAAGCTGCCACCATTGCGCCACTTCATCACCAACTGTTTATGCATTGTACGTGTTCGAATGAATTTGATTCACAAATTGGCTACTCCCGCTCGCCCGCTCGTCCGCTCGTCCGCCTGCCAAATACCAATCACATTTTGTGCATTGTTGCACAGATTTTTGTGCGTCCAGTGAATTATTGCCTGTGATGCGATCTAGTGATTGACGTCAACATCATTCATTTTGCTCGCAAAATGTGCAAATATGTACAGCGTATTTGTAATAAAAATGCTATTCAATTTCATTCATTTTTCTATCGAGATGATTTCATTAAAATCGCGTCTGAAGCTTGAAGTATCGTTTGAAATATCGCATTGAGTCTCGAAATGAGCTTAATTTTTTTTCTTCTTTCGAGTGATAGTTTAAATGAGTTCATAGAACATCTAGAATTTTTAATTCGACTGAAACATCATGGTTTCGATGATTACTTAACTTAAGACTTAATATGATAGAAATAACGCATTAAAATGCGATGGCTTCGCCACATTCTCAGAACAATCGGAACTAGAGTGATTTTTGAGAGTTTTTATCACTAAAGTGATCAACAAACAATTGAATCACACCTTATTGTGATTTTTCACTAAAGTGATTTTTGGAATGAGCCGATTCTGTTGTTTTTGCTGTTATTTTCCTCTTTCTTTCCTCATCAAATTCTATATTCTTGTACAGCTGAAATGGTTTTCAAACGGTAATTTCGTAAATTCCCAAGTGATCTTCAGCATTTGAGATTAGCATTACTTACTTTCAAAAATGGGCGAGCTAAAGTATGCGATCGCAGCATCCAATCAGAATTATTCATGTAACCAACTGGTGCCATTGGACTTGCAGCGTAAATTTTCGCATTATATTCCGGTTTTTCGGACAATAAAACCATGATACTTGTAGTTCCTTGCGAGTGCCCGACGGAATACAACTTTTCGTTTCCAGTCTCTTTGAGAATGTAGTCAATAATCATAATGCTGGATGATCATAATTGCCCATTTCGTACCACGAAAAGTCCCAAAAACCCCTACCCGGAGTGCCGATTTTTCGATACATGTCTTCGTGAATAATAGCTGCCTCGACTATTCGGTAGCCTGTGTTGACATTCTGGCATTATCGTGGGCGGTACGATCTCGCAAACCATGGCCATCCAATTTCGAACCTTCACGAAGAATCTTCACCGCCCCCTTGAATTGAAAAAAAAAACAATTTTTGGTCTTCAATACAAGCTTCAATCGCAGTTGCTTCAATTGCTTTATAATTTCTGATTGACGTGCTTGCAAAGCACTCAAATCATTCCCATTTGATACCTGAAAAATTCAAGGGATTTCTCTTTTTAGGACATACTCTCTACATTGACATAAAATTATATTCACTAAATTGATTCGTTCGATTGAGAATTTCATTGAAAGAATCAAATGGATCATTTGTTTGAATTTGATGGAATAAACAAATAACCTTGAGGAATTTCTCAATCTGTTGTTTAACGTCCGGCAGAGGTTTAGTACTGAGTTGTTGACTTACAGCACCGGTGAATCCATTCGTCAGTTTTGCATTCGATGATGATGATAACTGTGAGTCGTTTGCGCCGAATTCGCTGATATTCTTCATTTTGTACATACAAGTCGGCAAATCCACCTGAATACTTGATCGGCAACAAACTAACGACGAAAACGGTTGGATTCTTGACAACTTTGACATTTTGATGTACACACACATATAAATACGTATGGTGGATTGGAAAACGTCAGCAATGAACTATACTAACACTTGGTGTAGCAAGTTCATCGATGACTTCAAAATCATATGAAAAACCACACAAGTGTTGACAGTGCAAACTCACGATTTTTTCGAAATATTTCTTTGAATAACAAATCGTGGATGAAGCCTAGGCTTTGCAGAGCCTGAATATCAACAATAAAAGAAAATAAATAAATATAATTCCCAAGCAAATAATGTATATAAAATGTATGGCGTTTCCAATCTCACCACTGCTCACCACAATCAGTCAAAGCATTAATGTGAATGACGCATGACAAAGTGACTTTGACAGCACACGCATATGAATTGATGTCATGTTTACAGTCGGAAACGTTAATGCAAAATCTCCAGTATCCAGTTTCAGTCTACTTTGTATCATTTTTTCCTTCTTCTGTCCGCAATGTACACTTTTTATCAAGCCACATAGAACCACGGCGATTTATTTTTTCCGCAAAACTATGTTCCAAAAGAAAAAGTAAAACAGATATT